GCGACCCCTAGAGGACACAGTTCGAAGTTCCCATGAAAGGGAACAAACGTGTGTGATACTATACAGTGCACTCAACATTCTATTATATTTTGTAAAATGAATAAAACAAAAATTTAAATGACAAGCTAAGGAGTGCATGGGTGTGATTAAGATTTAATAATGAACGTTAGCTAAATTTCCATGTGATGATAGGCTTAAAAAGAAGATGTTAGTTGAGTTTCTGTGTGATATGCTATTGGTAAATCACTAATTTAATTAAAATACCATTTTAGACATCACAGTAACACCAAAAGATAGGATACAGACAAAATAGTGACATCCTGGAAGAGAATTAATGTGAATGAAAAGGTAAGGTATTGTCCTGTATGAGTTCTAACAAAAATTCCAGTATTTGATCATTGTTTTTTGGGGACATTTCCATACACAGCCTCAATCTTTGGTTTCTGCAAGAAAACACAAAAATCAATCAATCAGGAACTGTGTTGGTGTAACAGAGCTACTTCTATAAAATAATTGTCTTCGGTAGGTTAGTAGGCCTACTACTTTTAAAATCATCAGTAGAACATGTATTTTTCCATCAGTTTTAAACCAAAAGCTGATCTTGTGCGTAATGCCGATTCACACTGCAAGCGTGAGCGGCGTGAGCGTAACTACAGCTACAGATGCGCGAGAGTATTCACACTGGAAGCGTTTGTACAGCGTCACAGCAGCGGCTCCAAAGCTACATATTTCTTTACAAAGACAGCTATAAATTTGTTTTTAGAGGTTTTGTCAGTTATAAACTTGAATGTTTTGAAGTCTTGAAAGTTTGTTAATGCGGGGATTCGCGTGTAAATGGTAAACAACAAAAACAGCCCCTATCATGTACTTTCAGTCATACTCAAATATAGAACGTGCTGTTTATAGTTTTTTTTTTATTTTTTATTATACATACTTTTTCCGCTTACCCAGACTTGTGCTATTAACCAAGTAGCTCAGTGTGTGTCCATAATCTCCATGTCCATTTCTTATAGAAGCTATCAATATGCTTTTTGTAAATTACTTGTGATTAAGCTCTGTTTTTGTAACTGATTGGGAGAAATGTGAATTATTCGTTGGATTTAAGCTAATTGTTAGGCTAAGTAAGAATGTCAAAATGTTTTAAGTTATTATATAGAGCTGAATAAAAAAATAAAAAAGTAGGCTATGCGTTTCTAGCCAATCGTAATTTAAAGCTTAATATTTTTCTTAGAAGCTGTCAAAATGATTTATACGATTTTTTGTGTGTGTGTGTGTGTGTGTGTGTGTGTCTGCGTGTCCTTGTTTGTAATTTGTGCCTTGTCCGTTTTTGTAACTGAAGACCTGGATCAATATAATTATTCATTCTATTTTAGCTAATTGTTAAGTGAGAATATTATGTTTAAGTCATTATTTGTTCATAGAGATTCATTTAAAAATGAAAAGGTGGGTTTCTAACCAAGGTGAACACGTTGAGTGTTCATAATATTTGCATTAGGCTGAATGTTGAAGATGTCAGTATATTTCATGTGCATTTATTGTGTCTATAGCTCCGCTTCTGTAACTGAAGAACTGAAAATAAATAAAAGGCGTAAGTTTGTCACGTCAATCGTAAGCAGGGCCATAGCTGGGGTTTGTGGGGCGCCAGTGCAAGTTGTACCAGTGGGCCCTGTTTGAAACTCTTTAATTTGTATATTAGTTCTGTTTATTTATTTGTGCTATTTACACAATGTTTAAGTTTTTTCAAGTTTGTAGGTGTCCAAGTACAGAAACCGAATAATTAAATGTAAAATAGAACTGCATAGTCTTCAGTGTAAAATAAAATTTACAGTCAAACCAAAATTTATTCAGATACCTTCAACATGTCTCATATTATCACAGTTTATTTGCTATAATTTAGAAATGGTAATAAAATATGACAAGAACGCAGAGTTAAACTGTGTCAGAACAAATTAATCTTGATAATGTCAGAAAACTTTGATAAAAAGGTATGTAATGGATTACCATCAACCAAAAATTCAGACAACTGTATGAAAATATTTACACAACTATCAATACTTTGTTGACCAATTACCAAGCAATGCTTAATTTTGTTCAGTCTGTGGTGTAAAAAGGTCGCATTAGCAATTAAAGAAAAAAACACTTAAGCAAAACATGGTCAGGTCAGGTGTCTGAATAATTTTGGTCCCACATTTTTTTTATCAATTTCACTGGTAGTCCACAGTATGAAGAATTGTTGGGTATAATATGTCACAGTTCACTTTATTTAGCTATACTCACTTACATAAATGAACTATAGTGTCCTGCACCAACTAATAAAAAATGTCAAAAATTATATCTGGTGTCTGAATAATTTTTGGTTCGACTGTGGATTAATTCTTGTTAAAACTACAAAGTAATTCAGTCAAGAGCAGTGAGTGATTTTCCTTCTTTCATTTTCTTGGATTAACATTAAGGACACCGACAGCAGCTAGTAAATTAGTCACTTTAAGAGACAATGCATCCAATATAATGATACACATCCGATTTCTTTCTCCACTGTTTACTTTCACTTTAGACATAACCGACTTTCCAAGACGGGTATTTTGACATCATTTTGTATGTATTTGTCAGTACAAGAGCAAGAAGAGGCAAATTCGGTGTTCAAGTGCTTTGAGACGCGTCTCTTCTGCGTGCGCAGTGAACACCGCTGAATTGGGCTCTTTCACATCTTTTAACCCTTTAACTGTCACCCCCCATTTTTTTAAATAGGCATGCAGGTGCACGATCCAAACTTAAATTGTTGTAATTTATGAATACTTTGGAATACAGACATAAGGTTTGTCTCTTTTTAAAGAAGAAAATTAGCAAATTATCGCAAAAGTGGAATTTTTTCAAAATATTAAAGTATCAAAAAGTTATAGTAGTTTAAATTGACTGTAAAGAAAATGCACTATATTCATTTTATTTTATTTTATATATAATAAATATTTTACATATCAGGTTTTACTCTAAAATTGTTTTCATATCAAAAGTTGATATGAAAAAAATTGAGGTTCCTGTGAGATTTTATTTAGGGCGTTATACCACAAACAGCCACCGGGTGCCATCCAAACTCTATTACATTTTTTAATGCATTTTTCTGTCACAAATGTCTAGATTTCTATTTCTCTGTCAATATTACTTCTATCTCAAAATAACCACCAAATATGGAATCCTGAGACTCAGACCTTTTCAATGATATGTTTTTTGTCACGATTATAAAAAGTTTTGATTGTAAAAGAGCGTAATGCATTTTTTAATATGACACTTGACACCGCCCACTAAGGGGGAGGAGACCGCCAAAAGATTTTAAAGTACCATTTCCATGGTAACGCAATGTCCGATTTCGAAATGGTTTTCACAGGATGAATCTTGGGCTTCTAAGCTTTCAAATGATATATGATTTATGATGATTACTAAAAGATTTGATAGAGAAAAAAAACAACAAAAAAGAGCGCCAAGCGTCCCACAGGTGGGACGGTGACAGTTAAGGATACCAGTAAATATAATGAAACATTTACAAACATTAAAAACACTATATACCTAAATACCTATTTAGTTCCCCCTCACTCCACAACAACTCCTTTAAGTTTAACAGTATTACAGAAAAAAAAAAGTCTTTTTCTGTTTGCATGTTTAAACTGCGATTTGTATTTGTTCGTTCAGGTGCAGGAGGACGAGAAAGAAGAGCTCGGTTCGGTGTTGCTGTCTGTGAGATGCGGCTCTCTGAGTGCGCACCGAACACGGCACGCGAGTACTCAGTTGAGTTTTTCTTTGAAAAAGTCTTGTGTTTGAATGCTTTAAACTCTTTTGAATGTTTAAATTGGCAAGGCTTAAAAACACTTCGCAAACAGCGTCGCAAACTTATGTGGTAGGAACTAGAGGAGCGCGGGGCACAAAGTAACGCGGGGTAAGTTGTAACACGTGGTTTAAATATTTCCACACATGCATCTCAGTTTTTATTACTCATTTAAAATTAGACAAATCTGCTATTATTTTAATCTCCCGTCTGTTATTTATCAGTTTAAATAATTTTTTAATGCTTCGCTATCTTTCAGAATGCCCCTCAGATGTTACAATGTACCCCACCTACGGGGCATGTTGTCACATTTCACTTCCAATTTTTGAGGGTAAATAAAGAAAAACGTATACACTGTAATTATGAAACAAAGCGACATATTTGTACTAGACAAGTGTGAAATTACTGTGGATAAAAAAAATTATACTCTGAACCCAATGTGGATTTACACAATTTGAGAAAGTCAAAAAGTGTTACTTTGTGCCCCGCTCTCCCCTACAGCTCTCGACCTGTGGTTAGAAGCATAGTTTCGTGTTAGCAAGGGTCATGGGCTTAAATAAATATGCTATTGGGCACAATAAGCAAGCTAGCATGCAGTACAATCTATATATTCCATTCTATCTAAATATAAATGCATTTTAATCTATGTATTTTTGAAGAGTGAAGGGAACCCTGGAGTATGACGTAAGAGGGAACCCGCCATGAATCAAACATCAAATAAAACAAAATGACAGGGAACAAAAAATAATAAATTAATTATCAGGTGTCATGTTCAATACAGCAGCATCTTAGAGATGTCTAATCGGTTAAATAGCAGAAGTTATTCCTCCGCCACATGCGTGTGACCTCATTAACAATGGCCCGATGTTGTTGAACTAATGTGGTTCAAACGACGGAGACGCGACCGTGTTCGGGAAACGGTCGTGACTAGTTCCCTTTCATGGGAACTTCGAACTGCGTCCTCTAGGGGTCGCTATGGGGAACGCCTCGTCGTGACCCGTGTCTGAAGCATACATTGAAAACGCAAGCTTCAGACGAAGAAGTGAATGATGTGTAGCTCCCGTCGCCTATTTATACTATAGTCGCACCAGTAGTGACGTCATGGCTGTCGCCGGCCAACGAGTTGGTGTTTTTTCAATGTATGCTTCAGACACGGGTCATGACGAGGCGTTCCCCATAGCGACCCCTAGAGGACGTAGTGTCTCGTTCCCTACTCAGGGAACCATGGTTACATAAGTAACCTGAGACGTTAGTTCGTTTCAACAACAATGCATCGTACTATGGTGGTTAATCAGCGAGTTATGTCATTGTACGGGAAACGCACCCCAGATCGGTTGAGATCGCCCCCTCCTCAGCCATGGGCCCCTATAATCGTCACCACCTTTCACCCCACTAGCGACGGCCCTGATCGTAAGTGAACACGTAAGCAATATTTACAGAATACAATATTTACAGAAGCTGTCAATAATGAATTTCTTATGTATATACTCCATTGTAACTTAAGATCCTGAGCAAGATGAATTGTTCGTTGTGAGTTTGATAAAATGTTTTAAGTTATAATTTGCTTATGGCAATTAAAAATTAAAATCAAGTTAAAATGGTTAAATCTTCTATACATATTTTTGATTCTTCATTTTCTTTCCTGACATACTCCAATTTGTGTTAAAACACACTAGACATAGCATTAGCATTTTTAGCACGTTTTGTGTGAAATCATATTTATTTTGTCCATCAAAAGTGTGCTGTCACTTTAATTGAGCGTGCTTGACACTCACGCGCTGCTCCTGCTGCCGGTGTGAATGCACTCATTTGTTAACATGCACGCTGAAAAAAATAGGTGCTGCTCACGCGCCCCTCACGCTTGCAGTGTGAAACCGGGTGCTTTTTAATGATTTTTAAGGGTTAGGGTCGTTTTTAATGTGCAACATATGTTAACATGAAACAGCAAGAGGAAATGACATCAAACACCCCATTCATTACAAAATCTGAAGTTTTCTCACATCAGCTAAATGGCTGAAAATGGTTGTTTCTCTCACAAAAGCAACAGCAAAGACACTTGTTACAGCACATCTACAAATCAACCAATGGCCGCTGAAACTGCATTTCACCTCATAATCATGAACCACAGAGCATCTGCAGCTCAAGATAAGCACAGGTAACATGGCTTAACAACTTTGTGTCCTACTTTCCCTCCAATGATAATCTAATAGTATAAAACTTTGTATGGAATATTTCAGAATTACAAACCAATTTATTTGTAGAACTTTACATAGCTTATGATTTTAATAAACAAACCATGTTTTAAATTAGTATAGAGAGGTCAAAAGTTTTACATGTAGACATACAATTCATAACACCTAATTCATGATATGTGTAAATAAATAATCTTTCCGTCAGACAGCAGCTCGTCAAATAATATAAATCACCTTTCTGTCAGACGGCAGCACGTCAAAACATATAAATGGTCTGTTCGTAAACTAAAGATGCATAATAATGCAACTATACAGTTTCACTGATTATAATGGGAAAACTGCAACATGGAAAGAAAAAAAAACTTACACTGAGGGGCAATCAGTATAGGCTTAGTGTAGATAGCATGAAAAAAAAAAATACTGTCCTTTTGATCTGCTCCCCACTAAAGGTGGTTGGGCTGATAGACCACGCACGTCTGTTCAATGAGCATCTGATGCTGCAAACTTCAGTCAGAAAACTTCAATCAGATTGACTGCTACACATCTTCTTGCAACACAGTCATGAATAATCTTACCGTTTTCTCTGTTTTCGGTTTACACAATGCTGAATCAATTCGGTCTTCCTCTTGGGTCTGGGCTGCATTAACAATAATACAGACATGTTAAAATAACAGTTATATCAAAAACTGTGTCTAATAAATATCCATGCAGCTTGTTCTCCTGACCTCTTTTTCTACATTTCCTGCAGATGCAGCACATCACGACTGAAACTACAATCAACAGAGATCCAGCAGCAGAGACCAACACTATGTAAAATAAATGTAGGCCCTGATCTGTAATGAATCAAAATGAACCATTAAATGTAAGTGAATCTGTTCGTCTGATTTACAACAAACATTATCAAACATCAGCCCGCAATTTACAACACAAATAAACAATTTACAGCCTAGCTTTTTTTGTAATTATAGTATACCTACCTATACAGTACCTCCGTGTAGGGCTGGGTATCGTTCAAAATTTTTTGATACCGATACCGGTTCCTGAGCGATACTTTTTTCGATATCAATTTTATGAAATCAATTTTAACAAGATTACATTATCTAAAAAAAAACTCGGTTTTATTTTTCAGCTTGTTGATGTTTATACAGACTCAAAGACTTATCTCCTGAGCCACTGCACAAAGGAACAAAATGTAACTAACACAATAAATGCAAAATAAGTGCAAATAGTTTTAATAAAACTCAAATAGTCTTCAGTTTACACATCTGTTAGGCTACATTTACACTAGTGCATCGTTTTAAAACGCATAGCTCAGACAGAATCATAATGCCTATTCATTTTCCACTGATTAACTGATGAGCATTAGCAGCTTCCAGCGCTGTCTGCCTGTGTTCTCTCTTCCACAATCGCTGTTCTGACTCAGAGATAATAACATATTTAATTTCAGCAACATTACATTGAACGGCAATCGGAAGTTATTAAAAACACTCCTTGGTGGTTTAAAGTGAGTTTTGAGTAAAAGCGGAATATAAATCTTATGTAGCGTGATGCTACAGTGTGCAGGAATGGTCACGTAACAGGCGCTTTCGGTCGTGTAGTATGAACGGACATCTGCATATGATCGGAACTCCACGCAGCTTGCGCACTACTCTCCACTGGAAAGGAATAACTTCCGGTCTGTAGCTTGTCGTTTGTCGGAGATAGTGGAAAGCCGGCTTGAAACGCAGTGTAAATGCCAGTATGACAAGGATTGTTTTCATTTTAAAACAAAAACGCACCAGTGTAAATGTAGCCTTACATCTAGTGGTGGGTGGGGGGTGGGGAATTCGCGGGCTGTGCCCCTCCTTCCATCCTCTTCTCTCTTTGCTGAACCCGATCGATTGCGAAAGTGAAACCGTAAAAACAGCTGCATAAGAAAGCGATTGCATGCTTTCGCGAGCGTCTGCAATGGCACGCGATCGCAGATTGCACGCTTCCCACCCGAATCTGGTGTAACTGGTGTACACTAGTAGGTGTGTTCGACTTGACGCGGACTGAATGAAACGACGAGATGTTTTTCGATACTCGATGGTATCGAGGCAATTCGGTCGGTGCCTAAAAAGTATCGAACTCGATACCCAGCCCTACCTCCGTGTTGGTATAAGGGTATAATATGCGAAGTTTGGGAAATAAAGGGGTAGCAACCTGGAAATTTTAAAATTATTTACTGTAAGTATTTTGAAACTAAGAGGTATTAATCCATTGTGTTCTTTTAAAACTGGAGAGGTTAGTTCGAGTATAACTTCTTACTGCTGACTCAATCATAAAGACAGTCTCTTGTTGCCATCTAATGGCAGAATAAAATCACCATCAAGAACACAAACACACCGTTTCTCAATACTATATACTATTATTAAATACAACTATTATTTATATTACATATTATTTATCGAATAAAAATATTTAATAAGCAACAACAGCCATCATAAAATTTGCTAGGCAATTCAGTCAGAGTACAAAGGCAGTGATCTGATACACAGCATTAAAGTTCTATAAAATATCACGTTACCAGACTTTGCCCTCAGGCAAAACTATTTGCTCTGGAACAAATAATAAATTATTGACACAAAAGACTGCCCCTTAGATTTACCCAAATCACTATAATATCACAACGCTGGAACAAACTGAAATATGGATACATTTACACAGTAATTTAATTTTCAGTTCAGTGTTGAGTGAGTGTTTATATGATGTCACCTCAAACTATAAAATCAAGAATATGTAACAGGCAGAACAAATGATTTCTACTCACCATAGACAAAAACACTGAATGTTTTTGATGACCATTTTGCACCAGTTATCTCCAGTTTATAGAGTCCAACATGTTCAGTTGTGATGTCTGTGATGGTCAGAGATCCAGTTTGATGATCCAGCTTCAGTCTGTCTCTGAATCTCCCATCAGGAACATCATCATACGTGAAGAAGATTTGTTTCTCACGACTAATTTCAGCTATGAGAGAGTTGTCAGCTCCAAATTTCCACAGAATGTCATTGTCTTCATGTATTTCAGTAAGATCAGTGTTTAGAGTGACAGAATCTCCCTCCATCACTGACACTGACTCGCCAAACACACCTGGAGAATAAACAGATTTGACATAGATTAAGGTAATTATAAAGGTAGACCACTGTAATTAAGAAGCAAGACGTATTCCATTTTCTTTTTTGACTGACAAGCAGACTTTCTGTCTGATATAAGTACTGTAACTCTTGCAGATAAAGAAATATGACTATAAACTGCTACTATTAAAGAGAGACTGTTAGTATCAAGTAGACAGAGAAAACATTGCAGCAGCACTTACAGATTGCCTGAAAATCTATTTATAGTATCAAATAATGGATGAAGATGGCATAGCATAATTTATGAAAACGTACAGATAACCATGCCCAGTTACATAATCATATAAATCTATTCAAGTAACTGAAGTAACAAATTACTTTTAAATTTACAGTTAAATATTTTAGTTTTTTGTTTGTTTGTTTGTTTGTTTTTTTTAAATAAGGAAATGCAAGTAACTTTGTTTTCTCAGCTTGAAGCTTGTTCATTTCACTCTTGGTGTGAAAGGGCCTTTAGTTGCCAAAAATAGAACTATTTTTTTTCTTATTAAAAACAAATAAGCAAGCCCAGCCCAGGTGACAAAATGTAACACAAAAGTAACATAATGCATTACTTTCCATAAAAAAGTAACTAACACAATTAGTTACTTTTTTATGGAGTAATGCAATATTAAAATGGATTACTTTTAAAAGTAACTTTCCCCAACAATGTTAAGAACTCATTGGACCCTGCAGCTACAACAACCCTCAGGACCCCCTTCATAATAGCCTAATGCCACAGTGTCTTCTACCAATCAACAGAGATTCAGCAGCAGCAACAAAGATCAGCACTATCAACGAATATGAGACTGGAGGATATGAATGAGAGTAAAAGAGAGACATTAATGTAAGTCATTAAACAACAGATAGATCAGCTCAGCAAATAAACATTAATATCACTACAGCCATACCTGCACATGTGTGACAGAGTTGAGTGATGTCCAGATGTGTAGCCTGGTTAGTGAATGAATTGTTGAGCACACAGCTGTAGGTGTTTTTATCCTGATATTCCACCTCCAGAGGTAGAGAGAGACTGATGCGGAGATCAGACACACTGATGCTGGACAATAAACTGTTTCCTTTGTACCAGGAGAGAGTCACATGCCCCACATTCACCACTGAACACACCAATGAACAATATGATGATGATGATGATGATGATGATGATGAACAGTTTCTGGTAATGTTAGGAACAGGCAGACGAGCTGCAAAATATGAGAAAATAAACTGAAATATGGTTAAATGTACACAATTTTATTTTCTGTTCAGTGTGTTGAGTGAGTGTTTAAATGATCCAACACCTCAAACTATAAAACAAGAATATGTAAAAGACAGGACAAATGATTTCTATTCACCATAGACAGAAACACTGAATGTTTTTGATGACCATTTTACTCCAATTATGTCTAGTTGATAGAATCCAGCGTGTTCAGATGTGATGTTTTTGATGGTCAGAGATCCAGTTTGATGATCCAGCCTCAGTCTATCTCTGAATCTCCCATCAGGAACATCATATGTGGAGAAGATTTGTTTCTCTCGACTGATTTCAGCTAAGAGAGAGTTGTCAACTCCAAATTTCCACAGTATGTCATCATCTTCACGTATTTCAGTAACATCAGTGTTTAGAGTGACAGAATATCCCTCCATCACTAACATTGACTCACCAAACACACCTGGAGAATAAACAGATTTTACACTGATTAAGGTAATTAAATGGTAGACCGCTGTAATTAAGAAGCAAAACATATTCTATTTCCTTTTTGACTGACAAGCAGAAACTTTCTGTCTGATACTGTATAAGTACTGTAGCTCTTGCACATAAAGATAAATACAGTGTCAACTGTCTTTATACACTGCTACCATTAAAGAGAGACTATTAGTATCAAGCAGACAGAAGAAAAAAAACCTTGCAGCAGCACTTACAGATTGCCTGAAAATATATTTATAGTGTCAAATAATGGAATAATATGGCAGTGTAATTTATGAATAAGGACAGATAACTAGGCATCATATGAGACGTCTTTCAGACCACTTTATTCAAGTAACTAAAGTAACACATTACTTTTAAATTTACAGTGAAATATCTGAGTTACTTTTTCAAATAAGTAACACAGGTTATGTTGTTTTTACTATTTATTGACTGACGGTTCTTCTGTCCCCGTGTTGAGAGAAATTGGAAGAAGTGTTGAGGAAGAGGCACTTCCTTCAGCCTGAGGCTTACTCATTTCACTCTTGGTGTGAAAGGGCCTTCACAGATGACAAAAATATAACTTTTGGTTTGTTTGTTTGTTATTAAAGACAAATATGTAAGCCCAGCCCAGGTGACAAAAATAACACAAAAGTAACATAATGCATTACTTTCCATAAAAAGTAACTAATGTACGCAATATCGGAATGGAATATTTTTTTTAAATAACTTCAAAAATGTTAAGAACGCATTGAACCCTGCAGGACCCCCTTCATAGAAGCCTAATGCCACAGTGTTTTCTACCATAAGAATTCTTATTCTTATTCTTATTTTTATTCTTATTCTTATTATTAATTTCACAAATGTCCATTTTAAAAAGCACAGCATCCAACACACAGTAATATAGTGGATTTTCATACTAAACATTTCAGCCTATTTAGTGCATTAAAATCATAAACAATGCAAAACAAACATGTTTCCAAAAACAGCAACAACTTTTGCAGTCATGTGACTTCCTTAAGGAGATTACTTTAAAGTAATGGAGAGACAGGATTTATTTAAATGTAAGTCTGCTTATTGTTAAACAAAGTTTAAAGATTGGTGCAATAGAATTGTTAATTAAAGCATGATTTAGTCTAGATGTCAGCTTAATCCTTCAACCTTATGGTGCAACACATCTGTAAACTTTAATTTGTTTTAAAGGTATCTGTTTTAGAGGAAATCAATGTTTAACATTTATTAAACAAATACATGATAATTATTGCAGATTGAACATATGAACATAAAAAAAACCATATAATATTAAATGTATTTTTAGTACCTAAAGTGTACCACCTCAGTGACAGTTTTTCTACCTTTTTTGAGTGTAGCAGAGCAGTTATTACTCTGGGATGAAAACAAAACAAAACATATAATAAACACTTACCAATTAGATTCCACCAGCACAAACAGAACAAAAAAGAGATGCGAGACATTTTCTTCAAAAGTTCACCAGCATGTCTAATAACAAAATGTGCTGAAAACACAGTAGAACTGCCAATGTGTTGTGTGAATCCTCCCCTGACACAGTTTGACCCTCCCAGTTCACATGCTGTATTTGCATATGATATGATGCTGTAGTTCATCTGGCCCTTATTAAGAATACATTGTTTATTTTTATAATTTAACATACTTTTTGCGACATAATTGCCTGACTTTGTAAATTGGCTAAAAGTAGAACAATGTTGAATGAATTGTGTATTAGGGATGCAACAATACAGTTAGCCCACGGTTCAATACATACATCAGTTTTTTAACTATGGTTTTCGGTTTGGCTTGGCATATCAGAGTGGCATTTTTATTTTTAATTTTTTTTGTGATTTGCAATTTAAAATGCACTTTTCAGCCAAATAAATATAAAAAAGACGGCTTATGGTAGAGAAACGAACATTCAATTCACGGGCAACAGCTCTGGTGGACATTCCTGCAGTCAGCATGCCAATTGCACGCTCCCTCAACACTTGCGACATCTGTGGCATTGTGCTGTGTGATAAAACTGCACATTTTAGAGTGGCCTTTTATTGTGGCCAGCCTAAGGCACACCTGTGCAATAATCATGCTGTCTAATCAGCATCTTGATATGCCACACCTGTGAGGTGGATGGATTATCTCGGCAAAGGAGAAGTGCTCACTAACACAGATTTAGACAGATTTGTGAACAATATTTGAGAGAAATAGGCCTTTTGTGTACATAGAAAAGTCTTAGATCTTTGAGTTCAGCTCATGAAAAATGGGGGCAAAAACAAAAGTGTTGCATTTATAATTTTGTTCAGTGTATTATTTATATATTTGTTTATTTGAAGATATCTTTTTGACGATTTCAATAGCTCTGTTGTGAATGAAGAAAGATGCTAATTGCATTTTATACACATGCAGAGACTGTAAAGTTGTACTAGCACTTGGGATGCCCATCTTCCTGGACAAAGATTAAAGTCAAAATCAAGTCCTCTACATAATAAATGTTACAACGATTACATACATTTAACTGAAAATATCACTGGCTTAATAATCAAGGTATACATTGGTCTCTTACTCTCTTGTTTCTGTCTGTCAAAGCTTATTAATGTTTGAATTCATCCAGATAATTAATGTCTATAACCAAAATAATAAAACGCCCAAATATAGGCTATACTATACGCCTTTAAATTTGTAGACGAACAAAACCAATGATGTACTAACACCATCAAACAGTATTTACACAGCACTTAACATACAGCACTAATGCGGGGTAAAGAACGTGACAAAACGTCATACGTCATCGTGCTGCAGTGCGTATGGGAGTCTCCCAACCAGTTACATTTTCACTTTCATTGGTGACACACAACGGCGTCGGGTTTACTGAAGGAAAACATCACAAATACTAAAATCTGCCTTTATTTACTTTTTTTTGAAAATCTGGTTAAAATGAGACTTCTATTTATTCCCCCCGTATTGTTCTGGTGTTTACTCGACTATGGTAAGACATTTAGGCTTATCTCTCTCTCTCCCGGTGTTCTGTCGATTTGTGCTAACAGCAATTTGAGGTTACGGTCCTATTTTCAGTAAATACAGGCATGTGTAACATGCTTCGTGGGCACAACAGAAGCTGTCAGATGTAGATTTATTTATTTATTTATTTATGTTGTTGACGAGGAAATAAAACGAGAGAAGGTGGAACATACTTTTTATGTATTATTATTATTATTATTATTATTATTATATAGGTACAAATTTCATTCACAAACAAACATTCGCAAATAGTATTCCATCAATCCTATTTTTAAAATTGAATTAAACTCACTTTTGAAATCTCTAAACCTTATAAAGAATTAAAAAAAAATATTAAGATAAAATATTACAGATAAATATTTACAGAAACTGCATGCATTTAGATGCTTTCTTTGTGTATGATTGTTAGATTCTTATTGTATTGTCTATGTAATCTTATTTGAAATCTGTTACTCTATATGAAAAAACATCAGATTAATGATCTGAAAAATATACAGTTGGTGTGATATCTTTATCTTAAATGGTGTTCAAGTTTCATGGATATAAACGGGTTCAGTACTGTCAAAAAAAATAATAATCTGAAAAACGAATCTTGTGCATTATAGTGAATCATATTTAGAAATTGTTTCAGTTGGTTTGATCCATTTATCTCAAACTGTGTTAGAGTTTAATTAAATTAAGTTGGTACAGTATATAAAACATATGAAAAATGTGGATTCAGTACTGTATATAAAAGCAATAAAGGCATAATCTGAAAAAACAAGCCTTGTGCATTAAATTGAATAATATTCTGAATATTTAACAGTTAGTTTGATACCTTTATCTCAAACGGTGTCAGAGTTTAATTAATTTAAGTGGGTACAGTATATAAAACATATGAAAAAAATATGATTTCAGTGTTATATATAAAAACAGTAAAGGCATAATCAGAAAAAAAACAAGCCTTGTGCATTATAGGGAATAATATTCTGAATATTTTACAGTTGGTTTGATACATTTATCTCAAACTGTGTCAGAGTTCAATTAAATTAAGTTGGTACAGTATATAAAACATATGAAAAATATGGTTTCAGT